AATCATATTATCCAATGGTATTTAATGGGGGCGGTGAACATCACTCTTGCTTTAGAGTGGTGAACAAAAATATTTTCGATTGAAAACCATCTAGTTAATATGTTTTTTTTTTTATGGTAAAAAATTTTATCTAGAGAGAGAAACTTCTGAGTACAACCGTTCTAGTGCAATTGAAGAGAAAAACATTTCTAGCAAATAGCAATAGTGGGTAAAGATCTATTCCAAATAAAAGTATCATGAATGGAGTGTCCGATGTTAGTAATGACCAACAAGAAAATTCGCTTCCGGAGAGAAATGAGTCCGAAATATAGAAGAAAAAGATTGTACAAGTAATCTGATGCCCTTAATAATAGTCTTCTACTCGCAATACGTCATGCACTTATCCAAAATAAAATCAATAATAATCTTGAAGTCACATTCAACACAAACATAATCTTTTATTTTTGCAGACTTCAGGACGTCACGTAAAGCAAGCACTTCAACGATAGTAAATATTTTTTGTACTCGATTGTGTGTGTGTTTTGCTTTGGTTGTGGTCCACTTTTTAATTTCGAATTATTGTTTCGATCTGCATTTTCTTTAATTCGACTTTGATCATTACACATAGGTTAAGTGCACTTTTTTTAATCTACTCATCGAACTTTTTCCATCTGTTACCCTAGCTTTGGTGATGTCACCTAGGAAAGACAAGATAATAGACCCTACATCTTGATTTATTTATATTTAGTTACTCAAATAAACCGGTTTGATTTATTTATATTTACAGTTAGGGGTGTGTTATCCACACATTTATTTTACTTCTCACACACCCTTGATAATTTATGTCCGTTGATTTTCTTTAATTCATCCGATCCGAGGCCGAAAATTAAAAAAGTGTGTGAGAAGTAAAATGAGATGTGTGGATATCATACCCCTTACAGTTACTCAAATAAACCAATAAAGGGAAACATATGAAATTCTGTACTGTGAAAGAATTAATGTTCTTAAAGACGATATGTGCTAGTCGGGCAATTGGAGCTTAGCATTTAAACGGCTAGGCAGGGTCTCATTTAGACACTAGATGGATTAAGCGGATTTAAGTAAATTTATTATTGTATAAGCAAGTGCCTATTTATAGTTAAAAACACATAGTACACATAAATTGCAAAATAAAATAACATATAGATTATAAAGTATTAAGATATATTGAAAATATGAGAAATAAGCATATAATAAGTGTTCATCCAAGTGTTCAAGTCTTTAACATTTTTTATTGAAAAAATGAAATGCAAAATGAAAATTATAGATTTTTTGTCTAAGTGAAAGTAGCGACCTAGGTGGTAAGGCGGATGCCTAGGCTGGTGAGGCAGATGCCTAAGTAGGTCTAGATGCACATTCCTAATTTTCAAACACCTAGAGATTAATCGGAACGACGACTAACCGTCTAACGCCTAAGCTAGGCCTAGGCGGCTCTGGATGGGGAATAGTGGAAAGAATTCTATAGGTAACTCCAAATATCCAATTGTTAAATCAATTAACGTAGAACCTTAAAAGAATTTCTACCTGATCTCATACTAACAAACAAATAATCAAAACGTTCGTGCGATGCACCTATTAGATATCAAATTTAAGGGACTCCCTACAAAACATACAATAAAATCTCCAACTCGAATGTATCACTTGATTCGGTAAAGATCGATTTCATTGCCATCCACCACGAGACTCAGATTCATAATTTTGGGAACGAAATGAAAATTCGGTTGCACTCATAATGTTTTTACGCGCATGTTTACAGCATGCATGCATGTCATTCTCAAACAACTGTTCCATTCCAACAAACTTTTGCCTCATTATATCTTTGTCTCGAAAGATTTTTTAATGTGTTCAGAACAGAAGACGGAACATCACATATTATTATAAAACATACTGTCTTGTGTTTCCACAATCTTAACTTGTCCACCAAGATCTCCAATTTGACAGGGGAGGGAGCTCCAATCGATTTGTGTTTATTGTTTAAAACTTCTAAGAATTGGGGACCAGCTGTTGTGCAGTTAACCTCTAGATAAAATTACATGTAACGAGATTGATAAGGTAATGTTATATTTTAAAATTATCATGTGTTGTCACATATGTTGTGACAATATAATTTTTTTATGTTGTGTTATGTGATTAGTCTAGGATATAACTATCTTGATTCTTGGTGTTGGATGTATTTTGAGATGCATTCATATTATAAGAAGGCTACTATGTTTAATTTCTGAGGTGTGAGTTGTTGATTTCTAATTACATATGCATGTGAGTCTCCTATAATAGTAAGACTCACATGCATCAATAGTAAAAAATCAGTCATTCGCTCATGCGCAACCAATCTTAACATTCTAACAATGATAAACCATATAAGTAATGGAATAGGAAAACGTTACCATAAAACATGCAATGTATTCAGACGTTCTAGGTTTGAACTTTATGAAGGCAAAATTATCCAAATTTACTACATCATGCGTAGTTTGTGAATAATTACACGTATTCAAGATTTTACTGTAGGTAAAAACAAACACATACTAGTATACTATACGTACATATACAATGACTTTCATGTGCAAGCATTTGGTTGTACGGTTCAAATGGTTTGGCCAATTAGGGTTACCCCATCAAAAGTGGAAAAGACCATTTCCAAGTTTTAGGAGTCAAAATTGGAGGTAGATTGTCTGCGCTCCTGTTTGGGTGCCTTTCCCATCTCCTCCTATTTGTGCGGTCACAGTTAAGCCACGTTAACATTGTATATTAATTTTTTTATAAAGATAATAAAACAAAAAATAATAAGAATATAAAATGTTGACGTGACTTAATCGTGACCGTACAAATAGAAGGGATGGAAAGGGCACCCAAATAGGAGGGCACACAATCTGCCTCCGTCAAAATTATGCATTTAGATATAAAGGGGAACGCCAGCTGGCTCTCACTCTTATTTACATCCACTTGCAAATTAAAAAATTTGACCAGAAAATAGAAGAATATTATAGGATGATTAACACTTTGAGTAGTTTAATCAAGATTTGAAACATGATTGATTTTAAAGAGGCAGCGGCGCCTGAAACATGATCTTTGACTTTGGTTGAAGTGTTTTTGGTTGTAAAATATGTGCCCCTTTTGTATTTTGTATGCTTTTGTTTTGTTTTGTCATCCTTCATCAGTATTCTCATCTTATGGTTTCAGATACGTGAGTTAAGTAAGTTAGTTAGACGTGTCATTGTACTTGTCTCCTTACATCCGGTTAGAATCTCTGTTCTGATTGGTTGTAGTAGTTTAGAATATCAATTCATGAACAAGTCGAGGTAGATGAGTCAGATTTTGTAAATTGGGTTCTCTTTAGTTATTATAAGGGGAGCCAACCAGAGGAGCAGAGGATTGAATTGTCCAAATTGATTAGAATTTAATGAAGAATAATTTGAAGAGGGGGACCTCAAAGCTCAGTGTCGTCTAATTCTCACATAAATTTGATTAAGTGTGAGGATGGAGTGGTAGGATTTTTACCGTATGCAAAATCATTGAATACTTGCAGGAGAACAGGGTTACTGTAGTATAAACGGGCTCAATAAGGCTAGACAATGACACCCAAAAAACATATTCATATAGACCCTAAATATTCGATTAATTAAGGCTATAAGTGATTTTGGAACTAAATTGTGGGCTCTTTGGGGGCAATCACGCCGAGAGATTAGGAAAACTTGGCTATCCTGGGTTCATCACCCACTCTCTTTATCTCTCTCATCACGTCATCATCACTAAGTCATTTGACGTGAGAGCTCGAGAGACCACATGTGAACCCTGATAGCAAGGTTTTAAACCTTAACATGAAAAGTTCAAGTGGATTACACACGAGTCAAATAATGAAGAAAAAAGGTACTTAACAGTTAACAACGATCGGAGGTCCTTCTCAAGTGGTTATACCAAGCAATCATATAAGCAAACGTGAAATAAATTCAGACAGTTCAAAAGAGGTCTTTCATTCTGAATAGCTTTTGTGCAAGGCTGCGATGTACAGAGTACGTCGCTTTCCAAATCGTTTACATAAACATACGCTATCCAGTTCGCTATCTTATCGCTATCGAACCAAAAGACGGGGATGCAATAAGAGAATAAAGAAGTTTTTTCTTCACTTAAGTACAATTGACTGGTGGGAAAAGTGCTTTCCAGGTATTACAAACAACTTAATGAATGTCTAAGATGAGGGTAAAAGATAAGTGGAATGGCTACAACACTGCACTATGGAAGCAGGGGAGGAAGCGTAGAAACTAAAAATTAAAAGCACGACACAAACAAGTAATCCTTTCATGAGGATGACAAGATGAAAGACTGAAATTTTCCCGAGATAGTCGACCTTTTACTAATTCTAACAATGACTGAAGGGTGCACAATAATGGTATAAGCAATATAAGTAAAAGGCACGGCAAGATGGTAGGAAGGCCAAGAGCACAGGGCCAAGCTGGTGTGTAAGATATGATTGTGCGCAGATTATCTCATGAGGGTTCTCCTCGATGAGGGAAAGAGATAGGTGAATGGCTGGAACACTGCAATACGGAAGAAGAGGAGGGAGTATAGGAAGAAAAAGTTTGAAGCAAAACACAAACGAGTAATTTAGCCATCATAAATGTGCTATAGTACCATTAACAACTAAGGATAGCAGGACGCAAGACTAAAAGTTGCATGAGATCATCTGCTCCTTTCTAATTGTAACAATGACCGATGAGTGCACTACTATGGTATTGGATATATAAGTAAAAGGCACCGTGAGGATGATAGGAAGGCCAGAGCACAGAGTCAAACTGGTCTGTGACATACGATTGTGGACAGCTTCTCTCTTGAGCTGGACAGTCCAGTTACAGAAGAGGCCATTTGCTCATGAGGGTTCTCCACGGTAGGGTCTAGAACCCATGTGATCCAATGATCTGCCTGATACCGATCTTATGCCACATGACTTTTAAAAAAAGCATGGCCTATCAAGGGATGGTGCACAGAAATGATTTAAGGAACAAATGGAAGCTGTTTGAGATTTTTTTTCAGCTGATTCATCGTCCTATAAACAATGAAAGCACTACAAGTACAGCCTTAAAAGCTATTGAAATGTTTCCTCATTTAACTGAAAGTTTCTATGTATACAAAGTAAATATCATTTCTGACCTTTAAGTTCCTCATTCTGCAGATACTTCACCACTCCATACACAACACTTCCAGCAACAAACAAGCCGACTGTTGGTGTAAAAGATGGATATAAATACTTCACAAAGAACTTGTCCCACTCTTCTGGCAGGAAGCCTGAAATGAAGTTAACAAATTATTCACAACGTGAAGAAAACATAAAGGCCTTATCGAGTCAATTACAGAAATAACTTCCAAGATTTTATTATCTAGTCTTTTGCTAAAGTTCAAGTAATCAATCATAATGGACAATGTAGTGCTTTTCCAGATACGTGAAGAACGGATGCAATAATACTCCTTTAATCAGGGGGTTATGCTCCAAAAGGAATGTGTTTATGAGGTTGTTGAATTCTCAAATTGTGAAGTTTGGAAGCCAGAAGTTTCGTCATTTGTCATGCTATGCCCGTTCTGGTCCATATCTTATGTGACTGATAGTTTATAGTTGGCGCTGAGCTTCGACAAAGAGGATCAAAATGGCCTTCTGTGCAAACTCTTTCCGATAGATGATATTCTCAATAACTTGTTGGTTTTTCCAATTAAGTCATAGGATGATCAGTAAGAGTGAAATATTATTCAACTCCAATTTTAAACTTCAGCCGCTCGTTTGGACAAACTTTCTTAAACCTAAACAATTTATGCAGCATCCACTGCTGATACGTCTTACCACTTAACAGTGGACATGAAGAAGGGACAGGATTAATTGGGACCAAACAAGGGGTGGCTATACAGATTATACCAAGAGAACGGCCGAAAATGACTCAAGATACTAAACTGGATTCTAAACAATGAGTATTGAGTCCAAACTGGCCAGCATGTTGGAGGACTCAAAAACCGCAAGGTCGAATTCAGAGTCACATTTAATAAGATCCTCAAAACCAAAGCTTATAAATCTAGCAAGTAAATCCTAGATAACGGAAATCACAATTCGAAATCTATCAAACCAAACAATTCCACAATTTAAACGATTCAAACTTACTGACTCCTACAATTTCAACCATATGCTAACAAAAAATCCTATCTTTGCAAAAATACCAACAAAATTTTCACATGATTCACATCAATTCAATCACAGTGAACGGAAAGGTTACCCGAAGCGGCGAGAAGAAGGCCTTGGGCTAGGATGACGCCGCCGAGCCCCAACCAAGCAAGAACAAAAGCGCTCTCATTTGTTCCCATCTCCTTGGCCTTAGCCTCATCTTCTTCAGAATAAAGCAGGGGCTTTTCCACCGGCGACCTCCGAATCACCGCCGCCCTCCCTTTCTTGTTATCAGCGGTGGAATTCGACTTGGCCGAAGAAGGAGGAGGCGGGCCGAAGCCTGTCCCGGCTGAGGTGGGTTTCTTGGGTGGGACCTGGGTGGCATCGGCGGCGGGTTTTGACGGCTCCGATGGGGTCTGGGACTTCACTGTGAAGTGGGTTCTGGTTGAAAAGTGAAGCAGCGGAGGAGTGTGAGGAAGGTGATGATGATAGGGCTTGGTGGTGAGAGATGATGAGGGACACTGAATTAGCGCCATTGTCAGTTTAGTTCGTTAGAAGAAAATTTGCTTATTTTTGCTCCTTTTTGTGTGTTTTGGCTATCAAAGCAAACGACGCGTCGTTCACTCTTGACCAACAAACAATTAGGTTTTAGTGCACGACATCGATGGTCTCAAGCCCATTCTAATATTTTTAAGGAAAACTAATGAAAAAAAGAGGTGTGTTATCCACACATTTTATTTTATTTCTCACACACCCCTTGATAATTTATGTCCGTTAATCTTCTTCAATTCATCCGATCCGACGGCCAAAAATTAAAAAGGTGTGTGAGAAGTAAAATGGAGTGTGTGGATATCACACCCCATGAAAAAAAACTTGAAAATTTTGAGTTTTAACGATAAAGATAAAACAAAAGGTAAAGTAAATAGTATTAGGTTTGATTTTTTAGTGTAAAAATATGGTTTTTTCGTTAAAGTGAACAGTACTACGGATTTTTCGTTGAAACTCTCAATATTTTTTTCACATTACGATTTTCAAGTTTTTCGTCTGCTTAGGGCTCTAATTCAACGTTTTTACTTTTTACTTTAAATTTTTTATTGGATTCGATTTGAGATTGATGACTTCTATGGAGTTAAGGTAATCCGTTGCTTGTGAGCTTTAAGGAGGACCCTGGATTGGGGATCAATGGAGGGAGAGAGGAAGGAAGGAAGTTAGAAAGGCTTGAGGTTTAAGTTTAAGGAAGAAGACAAATGAGGACAACACCATACCAGACCCAAGCGACGATAGTTGATTGCTTACCACATGGTAGAATAATTTTTATAAGATTAGGAGAATGTTTTAGGTCGAAACTTTTGAACCCTTGTTAGACTAAAATTCTAACTTTGCCATTGTTTATATACCATGTATAAATCACCTTACGTAACTTAATATTATATTATTAGTTCGAAACGCTGACCTCCAGCAAAATGTGAAAAAATTGAGTTCTCTGAAGCACTGGGTTCTTCTCCTCCACAATAACAAATTTACAAATTTCAGGTGTTTGATTCAATTTTCTGCTCCACAAAAAACAGTTTGAATTCTTTCTTTGCATTCCAAAGATGCCAAATCCTCAAAGTCTCCTGCTTTATCCTCAACGAATGCCTTTTCCCCTCTCTGCTTTCCTTAAACGGACATGAAACTCTCACACTGCACACTCTACTCCACATGGCCTCGCTCGTCACTTTCCTGCACTTCCCTTCGCTTTCCTCCTCCCCAAACACCTTCTGCATCTCGCCAAAACGGTGCCGTCTCCATTTCAAGGCTCAGATTTCAGTCAACGGCACTCAGAAGCCGGCCGGCGTAGCCGTCGTTTGGCTAAAGCACGACCTCCGGATCGACGACCACCCCGCCCTCCTCGCCGCTTCCAACCACTCCGCCGTGGTTCCAATCTATGTCTTCGATCATCGCATCATCTCCCGTAAGTCACACACTGACACTCTGACACACACACACACACACACACACACACACACACACACACATAGTGATGTACGATTATATCTATAGGTGGATTCATTGGAGGGAAAATGGGCAGGTTTTCCCGAGAAAATGCAAGAAACGGTTTTGATTGCTTTGCAAGATTTGAGAAGCTCGTTGAAGGATAAAGGTGCGAACTTGATGATTCGGTTGGGGAATGCCGAATATGTGATTCAACAGCTTGTAAAAGAGGTTGTTACATCAATAGCTTTGCTTATTGTGTATGAGGAGAAACAACTTCCTGCCACGGGGATGCCATTGTCGTGGAATTCCAAGATAATCACGCAGAAATGCATCAAAATGCGGGATTGGATTGGAATTCCGCCACATCAGTATCCAAGCTGTGGGTAGGTTTCTATATTGTATGAGAGACTAGTTGAACCACTCATCATTGGAGAGGATTGCAACAGGTTCAGTTTGTTAGTACGGTATATGCCGAGGAGGAGGTGGAGTATGGCTTAAGGAAGATGACTGATAGTGTCAGGGACACCTTGACGGCAACGCGGTCTTCCCCCAACTTTGTGCTGTGGCGGACTCCGTTTTATGATGTGAAGGTAGTTGTCGTTGTCTTGATTGGTTTTTTTATTTGTTTTTGAGGTGCTGGTTGGTGATTTGATTCACTTAGTTACTATCGAGCAATTGATTGGATGAGTGTCTGATTATGTAGAGCTTGAAGGGTATTCCAGATTCATACGATGAATTTACCAAACTTAGATTGCCAGTAACTTTGCCACTGTCGCCCGCAACATTAACTGGTCGAAACATGGAAGTGGATTGGGGTAAGAGTTCCCATATTGTTAATGCTTCCGCTTATACTTCTACTTGATTTGTTTCGTTACTAAATTTGTCGAAGATATATCTTGCAAGTAGTAGTGACCATAATCGCTTTACTATGATTCAGGTCCCATCCCCACATTTAATGATTTGAAACAATTTATCAAAGAAAATCCATGCAAAATGGAAGAGAGTTGGAATTCAATGAAAGAGATGTGCGCTGAAACAATTTTGATGAAGGAATTTTTGAAGCCTGGGCAAAGAAATCTAAATAATTCGAGTTCTAGACATGTCCAGGTCCCATCAAAGAAGCTTGAGAATTCTATGTTTGTCACTACAAAGGGAAATTCTCTGGGAGGGGGGACGAGTAACGCATTGAAAACTTTGGGTGCATACTTGAGATATTTGGAGGGAACAGAACGTGATCACTACTGGTGGGAGTACGTGGTCATATTTTACCGTAAAAAAAACTTAATGATCAGATATTCCTTTCCACTTCATTCCTGCATTAACTAAAAGGTTCTTTTGGGATATTCTTGTTGCAGAATACATGAACAGATGCCCTGTGCTGAAAGTCGGGATGGAGCTTCATTTACTACACTCTTTGGTCCTGCCCTTTTTCTTGGCATCCTATCCAGAAGAAGAGTATATTTTGAAGCTCTCAAGTATAAGAAAGAACGAGATTCTGGATTTCTGTCTCCTTTTGGATATTCATCCTCTACAATTGCCGCAACTGTTGATTCGGTGTGCTCAATGGAGGTGCTGTACCAGTTATGCGAAAATTGTATTTATGTTTTGATTGAAGTGGCTTTTCGGAGACTTACCTAAGTTGCTTTCTTTGCAAAAAAACATTATTTATTGCATAACATATTTGTAAGCAACTGAGTTATGTTTTGACAGTGGTATTTGCTTGTCGCTCTAAAAAGTCAGTTAAGTGATGACAGAAGATTTCGTATTCGTATCTGGAGATGGAAAGGCTATCTAATTCAGGTATTTTGTTCGAAACTGATCTTTTCTATTTCAAAGATATTCTGTGCCTTGTAATCTAGATAAATACTTGGCTAGCTTTATGTTGTAGATTGGGGTACCTACTCTTTCACTACGATACTACTATCCTTTTGTCAGTATACAGTTGTGGGTGAAGAAGGTCCTGCTACTCTTCTGGTTCATGGTTTTGGAGCCTTCTTGGAGCATTACCGTGACAACATACGCGCCATTGCTGAAGGTGGAAACAGAGTATGGGCCATCACGCTATTAGGATTTGGCAAATCGGAAAAGCCAAATATTGAATACACTGAACTCGTGTGGGCAATGCTTAGAGATTTCATTATTGAAGTTGTGGGTGAACCAGCACATCTGGTTGGGAACTCAATTGGTGGTACGATTTAAACTAGAAACGAGATGATCAACTTACCTAAACAATGTCTTACAACTTACCTAAAAAGTTCTGGTGGCTTATCTGCCTTAATTTTTAGCTTTTATTCTCCAGTGTGCATATCCGTTGTGTATCTATTGTTATTTGTTACGATTTTCTGTCTCCAGGTTATATTATTGCAATTGTCGCTCGTCTTTGGCCTGCTTTGGTCAAATCTGTGGTTCTTATCAACAGTGGTGGGAATGTTATTCCAGGATATTCCTCTGTGTTGTTCGCCAAAGTAAGCTTGATTAAAAACGTGCAAGATCCCCTTCTTTCGTACGATTTTGACAGTCTCATAATATAGTTTTCTGTTTCAGGAGAGAAGAACTTCGGGTGCTTCATGGCTAGGTGCTAAATTCCTTTTGTTCTACTTAAGGTTGACACTCAAGGACATAGTGAAGAATTGCTACCCATCTGTAAGTATCTGTACTGTCTTTTTTTCGAATATGTTTCACTTTCGTAGTTTTCGTTTGTGTGTTTTACTACCTTTTCTCTGCAGAAAACAGAGCGAGTTGACAGTTGGCTTATTGATGAAATGCTAAGAGCAGTATCCTCTTCCATGTGAAGTAATTTTATTTTTCTCTAGGAACTAGCAATCACAGTTGATTTTTCTTATACAAATTAAAAAACATGTAACTAGTCAAAAGTCTCCTTAACGTAACTTGAAAGTCATACGATCCCGGGGTGGCAGTGGTCCTTGAAAGCGTTTTTAGCTTCAATCTCTCAATCCCTCTTAATTATCTCTTGGATGAATTCAAGGACAAAGTTATGATTATACAGGTAAATTATTAAGTCTTAACAAGCAGAGAGAAATCTCTCTTCTCTTTTGATTTTGTTTAAAACCCCTTAATCCTACTGTTTTGTCTGTCTGTCTCGGTTAGGGAATGAGAGATCCAATATCGGACTCCAAGTCAACAGTGGCTATGCTTAAAGAGCATTGTGCTGGGTTCATCGTCAAGGAGTTGGATGCCGGTGTGTAAAATATTTCCATTGTTGTATGCTGTGTTTATGCTCAAAAGTTTCATACAAGTTTATTCCTTTCATTGTTCTTGAAATTAGGTCATTGCCCGCACGACGAAGTGCCCGGTGAAGTGAATTCAATTATTCGTGAATGGATAGTGAACCTGAGCAGTAAACTTCCGGCTGTTAGCTTCAAGTAGTTTACGTAAGTGATCTGTACCATTAATTCTTTTTTATCCATGTCAAAATTCAAATGCAAGTTTCTTGAAATCAAATGGCTTTATTGATTATTCAGTATACGCTACAAAATCCATGTTGATGTGTAAGAAAACATGTTACTCCAACATTGCCCGGGCAACGCCAGCGCAAAATCCCCACGGCTGTTAGGGCGGCTACGCTTGACATTGTTTCCTACAAGATGAGCACTTCAGCTCCCTCAATTTCATTCCTTGTGTTGCTGTTTAGTTGACTAGTTCTTCAGAACTCAATGTTCACAACAGCGGCTGTTCACTGTACCTCCTCCCCCAACTTCATTTCGTCGCAAAGACAGGTGATATCAGGAGCTATTCCTCCATTACAATCCCTCAAAATCCCATCACCTACAAGATCGTTTAACAACAGCGGATCCTCGTGACACAGCTTCTGCCATATCGTTGCGGCAAAACATCTGGTGTACATGTAGCTACAATATAAAAAATTTCAACTCATTGAATGCTTATGCTTTCTTCTCATGCCATTGTCATTTAACGGAAAAGTTCCTAAATTCTTAATTTCATAAATATATATAAAGCACGTATATAATATGTATACTTATTTTCAGCCAGTTACATCTATTCAATTGTGATTTCTGAAAAACAACCCTGAAAGCTAGAACCAATATGCCCATGACCACCACAGCATTCCTTCATGTAGCTTTTGCAGCACCCACCGACTTCTCTTTTCTCCAACACACAAGCATGAATTGCTACTAATTCCGAGCAACATGCTTCCTTTTCCGCTGTCCGGGAGCCAATGCAAGAATTCGTTGCAGCCGATTCTGTGTGGTTGCAACCCGCTACAACATCAGTCGTCGTATGATGAGGGGCTGATTGTTTATCTTGATTATGGTGGTGCTGATGATCACATCTTGTGGCAAACGTTTCTCCTAACGATTCATTGTGAATATGATCTTCGCCACATTGAGTTGAGTGGCAATGACCAGTACTTGTCAACTTTCTGCTTTCCTCCAAGGAAAAAGTAGAATGGTTGCAGTGTTTTGGCTCATGGATTGCATCACCTTCCTTTCTAACATGCTCCTTTCCACAGTGGCTTGAGTGGCAATGAACACTACTTGTCAACTTTTCGCTTTCGTGCAAAGCAAAAGCAGAATAATTGCAGTGTTTTTCCTCATGGACTCCATCACCTTCATTTCTGCTGTGCTCTTTGCCGCAGTGGGTCGTGTGGCAATGACCTTTACTTGTCAACTTTTGAATTTCCACCAAAGAAGAAGCAGAATGATTGCAGTGTTTTGCCTCGTGAAGTTTATCACCTTCTGCGCATGAGCTCAAATTATGATGACTCAAACAACCATGATTGTGTTTATTCTGTGACTCGAGATCATGACTGACTTTGATGCAGCTTGTTTCATCACAGTGTCGTGCCTCGTGTAAGTCATCACTGCACTTAAGCTTACAGGGAAAGCTTGAATTTAAGGGACTAGGATGGCACTCTGATCCGCATTTCTGCGAGGAACACTTTTGAGGTTTACAGGCTTTTACGGGTTTGCTGTCCGAGCAACAATGTTGGCTTTTGTGAGAATGGCTATGTCCATGGCTTCCATGTTTATGGCCATGTGGTGCAGAAGTTTTCCCTCCATGCTTGTTGGTTCCTTGTAAGAGTAGCATGCTGTTGAATATCACAAGCATGCATGTCCCGACATCAGCAAGAACTGCAGCCCAAACAAGCGGATGCCCTGCAAATCCCAGTGCAAGGATACTCGCCTTAGTAGTGATGGACAAAGCCACATTCTCAATCACTTTTCTTTTAGCTCTTCTCGCAAGTTGGACTGCTTTCGGTAGTTTCCTAATGTCATTTGACAGTAAAATTATATTCCCAGTTTCTTGAGCAAGGGCTGATCCTGAAATGCCCATTGAGATACCAACATCGGCTGTAGCTAAAGCAGCGGCATCATTGATCCCGTCTCCAACCATTGCTGTGTTTCCTTCCATTTTAAATTCTTTAATGATTCTTGCCTTGTCTTCAGGTAGAAGTTCTGCCTGGACTACCTCGAGAGCTTGCTTAAGCTGCAAGTCAGATAAATTTTCTACTCTTATTTGTTCTTTTTTTCTTTCTTAATCTGCAAAGAAAATATATATGCAGTTCTACAGCCATGTATGCCAGGGAAGATCATACATTGAATCAATAAAAGTGAGTGCAGAGTGGAGCGCATGGTGTGCGCTGCGCGTGCAGATTTAAGCATAGCGATATGAGGCTAAGATATTAAGAATAACACACCTGCTCATTTGTATGCAATGCGGCAGCATTACTATCTCCTGTGAGCATAGCTGTTTTAATGCCTAACTTCTTTAGCTCCTTGAGAGCCTCTGCAGCCCCAGATCGACAAGCATCAGATATTGTAAAGACTCCAGCAGGGGCTCCCCCAGAGTATATGTATCCAATCGTCTTCCCACCTTTCGAACCTTCAATTGTTGGAACTGAAATTTCAGAAAGATTTAATGATGAGAGATCCAAAAAGACCATAAACAAAAAGAAAATGAATCATAATCTTTGGAATCATTCGAAATAGCTTCGAAGATACAGGAGTCGATGGCATTTACCTATTTCACAAGCAGCTCTCAAAGCTATTTTTCTGTTTCCAATGTGGATATCTTGTCCATCAATTCTCCCATGGATACCTTCCCCGGGAAAATTTTGAAACTCCTCCACACTTTCAGGGTTAGGCTTAACCGAAAACGATCTTCCATAGTCAACCAGCGCATCTGCCATTGGATGACTTGACTTCCTCTCAATGCTTGAAACCCTTCATGAAGATTAATAAAGAAATAATAGGAAACACTTTGGGAGAATAATGCAGCATTAAAACAGCCTTAAATTCGTCTTAAACTAAAAGCCTCTTTCTGAATTTCATGAAGTAAATTTTTTCTTTCCATCAAAATTTTTGTGTGTTTCATTCAACTTGTTGCTGAATAGAGGAGTTGCAGTCTATACCAGTAAAGCAATGTGTTCAAGCTAATGTCATCACGAAGAGATTGAAAATCCATCACCACAAATTCACCCCTTGTTATTGTACCAGTTTTGTCAAAAGCCATGATCTTGACTTTAGCAAGAATCTCAATGTAGTCACCTCCTTTGATCAGAAGTCCAGATGTTGCCGCTTTTGTGAGCGTGCAGAAAGTCACAACGGGTGTAGAGAGGATGAGAGCGCACGGACAACCGCTCACTAAAACAACCAAAGCTAAGTGAAACCACTTGCTCCAATTGTGAACATGTAATGCAGCTGGAATCACCGCGATAGAAACAGAAATGACCAGGACCGCTGCAAAACAGCACCACAAAACAAATCCAACCGTCTGCATTCTCCTTGGTAGTAAAGAATAGTGAAACATATGAAATGTATGGGGAAAGTAGACTAACCTGGGGTATAGAACATTGCACATTTGTCAATGAATCTTTGAGTTCTGGTTTTGCTGTTTTGAGCCTCTTCGACAAGTTTTGCCATTTTGGCGACCGCACAATCTTCAGCCAATGATGTAGTTTTCACGCTAATATAACCTTCACAATTGAAACCAAATTTTGTCAGAAATGAAAACATAACTCTTTATTCAAAATCAAAGAATGACGGGAACGACATTTATGTTACCATTAAGATTGATAGTGCCTGCCCAAACAGTGGAGTCCTTTTCTTTGGCAACTGGAAAGGATTCTCCAGTTAGTGTTTTCTCATCCACTTCAGCTTTTCCTTCAACAACTATTCCATCAATCGGTATAGTTTCGCCAGCCTTAACAGCAAGAATTGTGTTCAACTTAACCTCATCAACATCCACAACTTCTCCACTCTCTGCTAAGACTGCTTTTTGGGGCGCCATGCTCATCAACGACGACATCACTGCTTTTGCCTGAGTAGATAAAAGCTGATGAAATTGAGGTTCCATCATAAAACCAATTGGCAATATGGGGAGTAGCCCAAGATCATAAGCACATAGCAAACCTTGTCCCTCACCGATGTGGGACAACTCTCAACACGCCCCCGCACGTGTGGCGGATTTTTAAGCCTACACGTGGACAACAACTGGGTGATGTGGAGCGCGCGTGGCCGTTGGGCTTCACACGTGGACAACCTTGCTCTAATACCATGATGAAATTGGGGTTCAACCATAAAACCAATTGGCAATATGAGGAGTAGCCCAAGATCATATAAGCACATAGCAAATCTTGTCCCTCAACGATGTGGGACAACTCTCAACAAAAGCATGTTATTCTACGTGTCTGACTGTTTATGATATACATTAGCAAGTCATTCATTAATCCCTTAAACAACATTTTAGTATTAGTATCAGTGTATTGAAAAACGAGCCTTGAGGCGCACCTAGGCAGCTTTGGAGACAGGGCGGTGATGAAAATGCCTCTGCCCAGCGGGAATAGGCTTAAACTCACCTAGATGTGATCGAGGCATGCCTAGGCGGCTGCAGCGTTCGATTGGGCTTTTTTTTTATTTTTCTTTTTTTTTTAAGAAAAAAATGCCAAAGTTCAAGTTCATCTAGACTTCATGACATACCCTCTAAGTTCAAGTTCAACAAGACCATATGACATACCTTCCAACTAGACTATATATTAATAATTATAGGTCCCATGAGTCGCCTCAATCTCAAGGCTTTCGCTTAGGAGGGGCTTCACCTTCGTCTTTTAAAGCATTGATTAGTATGTGGTTTATCACAAAATTATGTACAAAACTGTCTTCAGCAAAATTTGTTGTTCCAAAATCAACTGCTATGTTTTTCGGCCACTTATCATTACTTGTATTTTGTTTAATTCAATGAGATTAGTTCTTAAATTTTTCATAAAAAAGAAGGATGAGTGTTTTATGCTAACCCTGTAACCTGCAGAAGACTGGAGCCACTCTGCAATGGTGAACAGAAAGACAATCGAGGCAGCTTCTGTATAGTCCTTCAAAGCAATTGTCCCAATTACTGTCAAAAGTTACACTAAATGGATTTACATAAATATACAAACATGCGCAAATAAGTAACTTCTGTATCATGTGTGCAGTATTGCAATAGAGTTCTGAAAATACATTTCCAACTCCAACTGAACTCGTAATTCAGTAGATTTTTTTTTTTAATTTGTAGTTTTTGGTTCTTTCACTTAAGTGCTATATTTATTTATTTATTTATTTCAATGTCTCTCTCAATTAAATTGAAGAACCATTTATTTTATATTACATGGCAACCATAAAACATGACAAGAGAGATGTTGCGTTAATAGAATCCATTGAGACTATAATCGACATACGGTTCACGAAATGATGACCCAATAGCACCCTCCACCAAAAATTGGGAAGCCGGCCAATAATGAGCTAGGGCCAATGGAATTAGACTTTATGGTGTACTAAAAATTTATAAAACCTAATCTAAATAGAAAAGTTTTTAAATCTAAGAAGAGATGTGAAAGTACAAAAATGCAGAATATGCTATAAGAGGATTCGAGTAATGCTCGGAAATAGGAACCCCTCCAGCATTACTCGAAAAAGCCTCGAATGGGTAGTTATGAACTTTGAAAAAAAAAACTAAAGATTTTAAG